TGTTAGTGAGTGAGTTGTGTTTTACGCCGCTTTTAGCAATATCCCAGCAATATCATGGCGGGGAAACCAGAAATGGGCTTCACACATTGTACCCATGTGAGGAATTGAACCGACGACGGCTTCCCACTAATGTTTGTTAGGACATATCGTAATATCAATAGTATTGTCCATCATTGCCATTCTTTGGTAAAATCTCACTGAATATTCTTTCTTAACAGGGACATACAATTGATATAGCAATATATCAGACTATTGCAAATCTATGGTGGCTGATTCGGGGAATCGCTTCATCGCCCTGAAAAATCTTGGTGATATCGCGACAAAGCGATAGAAAAACACGATATTGTGATATCGAGACACGATAGAGCGATACAGTCAAAAACGAAATAGCGATATCACGACACGACATGTCTATAGCAAGACACGATATGGCGATAATGCAACATGACATGGCGATAACTCGACACGAAAGGGTGATAACACGGCACGAACTTGCGATGGCCCGAATCAGCCACCATAGAAATCGTTATTACATTACTAAACGTTTAAACCATCACTGTATACTACTACTACTACTACTACTACTACTACTACTACTACTACTACTACTACTACTACTACTACTACTAAAAGAACTACTACTACTAAAAGAATAACAGTAGCACACCCGAATACAGACCACAAAATAAAACTCTTAAAGGTCACATGCAACCAAAACAAATAAACATAATTAAAACACAATTATCACTTATTCATGACATATAATATACATTGCTGATTATGCAAAAAACAAATAAACAAAATTATAAGCATACAATCGCAAATCAAAAGTGCATTATTTTGTACTTGGGTTTACTTCCCTCGAAACGAAGCACCCGGATACCGAACCCCGTTAGAGCGGGTTGGTGTGCACTTAAGTGTACCGAAGCCTTTCATTGGCTAGTTCATTTGCCGATACACTCTTTGTGTGTGTTTAGAGGTGTTTGGTTTTGTAAATACATGCTCATTTTTTGTGTATAACATTTTGCAATCAACAGACATCATAACACGTGCAATACATAATGTTGCAGAGACAGAATTCGGGTGCACGAGCCATAAATCAGTGCGTTTTGTTTATGGTGTATAGCCTGATAGGTGTTAAGTTCAAATTGCATGAGGTCAGTGATCGAAGTTGTGTATTGCACATTGTCATTAGCAGACAGGCAGGCAGACACATAGGTGTCAATAAAACAGACATTGAGTTTTGTCTGTGACAGAGGCATATCTATATCACAGTTAGAAATTCTGACAATGCTAAATAATGACATTGATGTTAAATATCGAACTGAGAAAGTTTGGTGAAATAGTCAAATGAAATTATATAACCAGTTCAATTGGTAATCTCCTGTCATAACATATAAAAAGCTTGCGCCTGTGAAATATCAACAAAACATTAGAAAAATAGCTCACATCAAAGCCTACTCCGAGTACTCGAAGGTTCGAAGGTTTTTATTTTCTCAGCTTCCACCAACGGTGGTACATGAGTGAACTGGAAAAACATTATATACATATATACACCAAGATGGCATCGGAGAGATATAATTGAGGCAGGATAATGTACAATACAATATACATGTACATACATATTCATATATACAAGGGTGTCATTAGAGAATGATACAAACATTTAATTACATGTATTTATATACTCACTGCCAGCGAAGTTTTTCCGTCTTGAAATGTCGAACGCCTCACTGGTTGACACATAGCTGAGTAGATCTAGATCCTTAACAAGGTTCTTTTATGTAATGAATAGATTATTTACTATTTGTTGTTTGTGTACACAACAAAGATTAGACTACTCAGGCTCACGACCTTATAATCCGGACATCCCGCTTCCAAGCTGTGCGAACCTATTCACTGCGCATGCGCCATGAGCGCAGCGCAGCACAGCACAGTTGTTGAAACCACTTTTCACCCCAGCTGGGGTGAATTTAGTGAATCGTTTGAACTCCAATTTCACGGGGGTTTTTTCATCGCGTTATTTGTCAAATTTATAAGTTGAATTTGCATTGTTGATCATTTGTTACTGTAAGTCCATACCGAAAGGTCTCAGAATCTGCAAAGTTGTGTTTTACGTTGCATGTGACCTTTAAACTTTAAGTTCTCTTCCGATTCTGATTCCTCTACTGTCTACGGTAAATCGATGCTCATGATGTTGATCACTTGATTATCTGATTCTCGATTATTTAGAGACGCCGTAATATAGCTGGAATATTTTCGAGTGCGGCATTAAAAGCTAACATCTACCGTCAACGATGTTTCTGATGATTCATTGTATATTTTGTTCAAGTAATTATATATTCAAATCTGTGATTTACCGATAGAAAACAGAGGCAAGCTATAAAATTTAACAAATCTTTACAACAGAATCAAATTAATAAATTGAAACAAAATTTTCTGTTGCGTGTATGGTGCAGGGTTCACACTGAAGAAACTCCATACAGTTTCCAATGACAAACAGCCACAAAAAAGGGTAAAAACAGAATCCTCAATAGAAACGTAAAAAAAAATACAAAACCACTAAAGACGAATTCTTAATCATAATTTTTATTCCCTGAAGGCAAAGTTAAAAACATAATATTATCAAATAAAATAAACAGTTTCACATGGACGAAGAACATTTTACAGGCAGTTGAATGCAACAAGTGGCACTGATGAGAACAGACCCGCCATTTATTTCAATGAAAGGTTTGGAAACAGTTGGGGACTGTACTCAGTAACTATACCTAGAGGAACCATGGGTAGAAGAGTACAATAATGATGTACATGGAAAAATAAGGTTGCCAAAGTAATTATAAAGTCCAAATCTAATACGGCGCCAGGGCCTGGTGGACCAATCGTTGGTTCAAAAGACGATCTGTGAACAGACAAAAGATTACCACGTAACCTCTAAATGTGCTGGACAGACTGCAGAAAAGCTTATGGTTCTGTACCACTGCAATGTGATGATTTCCCTGAGGGATTCATTGTTTTACGCAAGTCTTTATTGAATTGCTTGTCAACTCAACTTGAGATGGATTCGCGAGGACAGATACTGACCTCAGAACCCATTTGCATTAGAAGAGGGATATTTCAGGGTGAATCTCTCAGTCGTCTATTTTCGTGTCTGTTATTAAATCCATTGAGCTATTTGATTAACCAAGAGGGTTTTCATCCCGAACCTCGTCAGCACAGACCCTCCAAACCTCTAACTCGCCTCCTTTACATGGATGAACCTGAACTACTTGCCAATGGAGAATCAACACAGGCAAAACAGACTCCTTGTGTATTTAGTTTCCATTTATATCGACATGTTCTGGCTCCACAAGTGTATCATTCTTTATGTGAAATATGGTCCTGTCAAAAGGGGAATATTATAGAGGGACTCGCTTAATTACTCCTTTGTTTTGTTTTGTTTAATTAACCTGAAGGCTCTTCATGATAAAATCTTCGTGTAAATTAGCACATATATACTTTTTCTGATGATTCTTTGGTGATGCATGTCAAGACTCACGATGGAGCAAGAAATTTAACAGCTGTTTTAAGCCCGCAAAGGATTGACTCTGTGGATGGTGATGTACTGCTGGGTGGTACAGCCATGGAAGTCATTCACCAAGTCTGCCCAAGAGTCGGTCATTAGAGGAGGTGTTTTCTGGGAAACCACTGCAACGTGTATATATGCAGTGTGTAGTACAGAATAGCAATCCAACCGACTGATTTGCTTGGATGAAGTCGGCTGATTCTAAAAGTGAAACTAGGGGCTTTCTTTTTGCTGCCCAGGACCAGCCACCTCCCACTAGCAATCTCCAAGATGTGGTTCTGTTCAACACTTTGTCAAAGACTGTGCGTCCTTGGCACAAACAACATACCTAATACGACACGATGTCATGGCTCCTTGTTTTTATTACCGTCTTCGTCATGCTTGTGGCTTTGATCCCGAGGTCCAACCATGATACGACCGTGAACATGTCACTGGCGTCACAAAAGATGGTACTTTTAAACTTCATTGTGAAAGGCACATATACAGCCTCAGAAGATAAAACGAATGGAATTATTTTTATCATTCTAATTTCTGACCCTTTCGACAATAATGTGATTGGCAAGATTGAGGAAAAGCAGGATACATATGAGAACCTCGTTTATGAAATGTCTCGCTTGCATCCCAAGTACAATGTCGTCAAACTCCCCATTGTTCTCGCTGCCCCTGGTTTGGTACCCTCTCATCTCTTGGTGCAGATCAGGGCGAGTGCCCGGATTCTCCACCGGGAGCACAGCCCTTCTGACACTCTGGGTAATGCAGAAGGCTGCAGTGTTGGGGAGTCTACATATTCTCCTGAAATTGTTTGGTGGGTTCGACTAGAGAGCGGTTCCTGGGAGAAGTCCCATTCGCTGTCTGGGCTGCGTGTAGAGAGGACAAGGGTACCTGAGCTGATGATGAGCCTAACCAGTGTATCTGTACCTGGATCACCATCTTTCTGGTGCATTGAATGTTAATCTTTAAAAATATAATAATTCCACAATATAAAATCGTCAGTGTACTAAATGATTCACTTAGTACCAATAAAACCGATATTAATGGATGACCATGAATTTGAAACCTGTAATAAACCAGGCATGGTAGAGTGTCTTAATTATCAGTGCCATAACCATACGCTCCGCATAAGATGAATACGTTATCATTTTACGCAATAACGTTGAGTAAGTGTGAATAGCACATCCATAATAACATGTCAAGTCTTCCGTTGTCAGATAGTAATATTACTGTAGGAAATTAAAACTAATTGCTTTTGAAAAAACACATAGAGAACCCTTAAAGTGCGCTGCAATATGTCTGACAATACAATGAGAATGTCACTCAAACGTTTTCAATTATACCGCATGCTTCCAAAAAGTATGCACGGATAACATAATTGATTCTGCTTTCAAACAATTTGGAGTACATTGATATTGACCATGCAGCATTTCAATATTTTTTATGAAACACAAAAGCAACACCTTTATGTAGGAGTATATAGTATATATAGTCCATATGTACTCCAGGATGAACTGTTGGACATTTGAACGCTGACAACACGCTACAGGTAAGATTCATGTTAGAATTATCATTGAATACACATTGACACATTATATTTCTTTCTCTCGCTCTGTCTCTCTCTGTCTCTGTCTCTGTCTCTCTCTTGCTCTGTCTCTCTCCCCCCCCTCTCTCCCCTCTCTCTCTCTCTCTCTCTCTCTCTCTCTCTCTCTCTCTCTCTCTCTCTCTCTCTCTCTCTCTCTCTCTCTCTCTCTCTCTCTCTCTCTCTCTCTCTCTCTCTCTCTCTCTCATTTGCTACAGGTATTCTCTCTACTTTTATTGGACGGTTATTAGTTATTATCAGAGCTGTGTTATCCGAATGGGTCACAGAAAGATGTTACGGTTCATTGAGGTACAAAAGTTCGAGGGATTGTAATAGATGGAAACTATTATACACTGTATGAATTAAAATATCTCAGATCATTCCAAATTTATGCCCATCAGAGTTATCTCCCTTGTAACGCGTATTACAGTTGTCCGTTCAGTTAAACGTCGAGTTTTGTCAGTTAAAGGGGAAAACTACTTTGGTGAGATGTTAGACCCACTAATGCACATAACATGCGGTTCAGGGATGTTTCACCCAAACTATACAAATTTCCATTGCATACTTTCAATGATATATATATATATATATATATATATATGTATTAGCAACCGTCAAACAGCCCTTAAACAATGGTATTGGCACAGATATGGATTATCGCTTAAACATTCTTTTAATGGCATGATTTTCATTTTTGATTGGAATATGCCTTTAAGTCGCATCTCTGGTGGCACGTGTATATCAGGAAAATTGTCCAATCAGGCGCGTAGCATGCTAATTTTTTCGTGTAAGCCCGAAAGGTTGCAAGGCTTTATATTTAGATAGTATTGAGGGCTTGCCCAACCATTTTAGCAACAATCATGTGTAAGCCCGGGCTTTATTTTACAATGATAGCTACGCCACTGACAATGTTAAATCATTTCCTGATGGAACCGCCATTGCCCACTGGTATGTCAAGATTGATTGCTGATCAACATGAATCTATTAATCTTTTATCTGTCAAATTTATAATCATACCATTTTGCACGTTTACTATGTTTGTTGGACATGACGTCCTACACACATGTTGACTCTGGCCTTGCCGCTAAAACGTCATGCTTGTAAAGACCGATCAAGGGCAAATACATCGTACCTGACTACGCTTGCTGTTATTTCTGGTCCAAGTCGCCCTAAAACTATATCACCACTACCACCGCTTGTTGTTGATTTATCTCAATATGGTTATTTGGGAAGGAGATCTTTAAGTCCCAATCCAACCCAACAGCTACAACATCACTTTAGTTCCAAATTCCTTATTTATATAGTACTACATCAATGCAAACACAAACACAAACGCACGCACACACGCACGCGCGCACACACACGCGACAGGACAATCACAGGGTAATCGTAGTAGAGTTGACAGTGGCAGTAAACTTGCAAGGCAGGTTGAGGAACTTAATGCAGCTGTCCTAACGAGTGCTGTTTTAGGGAGTGATTGTTGCTTGTCTCGCAGTCATATCCTTCGGGCAACAACGTTCTGATACTCCCTAAATACTCCTGCGGCGTGAGTAATCCCCTTCCTTCTCCCCAAACAAGCACACGCACGCACGCATGCACACAAGTAAACACACAGATAAACATACATACTCACACACACGCGCGCGCGCGATAGGGCATTTGAAGTACAGTTGACGGTGGCAGGACAGTTGCAGGGCAGGTTGCTACACTTTATGCACCTATAGCTACCCCAACGATTACATCATATCGTCTAAGACAAATTTGTTTTGTATTGTAAAGTGATGAAAGCGGAACATGTTAGCATTGTAGCCTAGTAGCACAGCAGTGCGCTCCCTCGCCATGCATTCAGTCCGTGTTTCGAATCCTACGCAATAGCGTGCATTTCACGTGCGTAATGTGTGAGTGTAAACGTACGCTTCTGCTAGTATTTTTCAGCAGCGTCTCCTCACAAAACTGCATCTGAGTTAGGAAGTGAATGTTGTTAGTCCATGCAGTCATAGCCAGTGTTTAACATGACAACTCTATTTAATTAAGAGATACTTACATTTTTGCCAAGCAGTCGGTCATGGGGCACTATAACGTTCTGATCCTAATGTTCCATAATACACCAGCGTGCGTGAGTTCTAAGTGGTTTTACGCCGCTTTTATATTCCCGCAATATCCCCGCAATATCACGACGGGGGACACAAGAAATAGGCTTCACACATTATACCCATATGGGGAATCGAACCCGGGTTTTCGGTGTGACGCTTTAACCACTAAGCTACCCATCCGCACTAAAACACTGTTTAACATGCGTTAAATGTATTTGCACTCTTTGTAGGTGTCAGGCGATCAGGAAACTGGTGTATAGAATAAGTGGTGGAAATACACAATCGTGAGATCGAATCTCCGGCAGGCATGCATCAACTGTGGTTAAACTTCGCTGTATCCGTTCTGTATCTTGCGACATCATCTGCTCAAAGTGGACCATCGCTCCATGAACTTGGTCTGCAAACAGACCCTGGCGCAGCAGAACCCTTCAAAGGAATATCTAAGTGGATAAAGGTTCTCTTCGATAAACGAGTCTCCTTCGAAGCACTATTTAGGGACCCTTTCGGCGTAGAGCACAACCATGACCCCATGGCTGAACATTGCCCCTACGGTATCATTTATGATAAGTCCATGGTGTGCAGAATTCAAAGCATGTACCCTGCATGCACGATCAAGCAGATACGAACCTCAACTGACATGGGATTTGCTGCATCGATATACAAAGAAACAACATTACCTTACACACGTATTCATTCTCATGATCCTCCACCTTTCAGGGACCCTATTCCTGAAATAATACAAACATGTAAAGACCCTAAAAAATGCCGATTCGACGAAATGTCAGATCGTAACGATCGTTGAGGTGCGTGAAAAAAATCCTGACACAGGTTGTGAACTATGGGAAAGCAAGGTTACTACATTTGTCCAAATACCTCACCCAAGCTTGGTACCGGCATCCTAAACTGAGATCTGTCTGTCGAGGAAGGTCTGACGAACTGGTGAACTATGTGAAGGAACTATCCTCCATCAAAACACTAAAAGACAAGATTGTGCCTCTCTTAGACACAAACCTATGGCCTATCAACGTAACTGCTCCCTTCAGAACCGAAGTGGATGACGTATGTAAAACTAGCCCTGATGACAGATTCTGTATTTACAAGAAGGTGTTTCTCTTGTCTGAGCCAATACGAGAAGTGAAGAAACTGGCCGACAAATCTAAATGGGAAAGTGATGTAGTTCAAGCAGCTATTGCCGCCTTTTCGATGCATCTCCAAGACTTCAAGAAAAATAGTCCAAACGAATTTAAGAATATTCCACCTTTGTCGGAAAAAACACTATACATGGAGAATACGCGACAAATATTTGCCATCATCCAAAAAGCTGATTTTGCTGAACTGAATGATTTGATGTCCATCTATAGTAGGTTCGAGGCTACATATTTTGCAGACAAAAGTTTGAGTGGAACAACAGAACAGGTGCTCCTCTACAACCTTCACAAACTTGTGGAACAAGCTCGTCTTATTGTTGACCGGTATCAAGAAACACTTAAAACCAGAAAAGTCCTAACAACTGAAGTTGATTTAAAGGCTTTGCTGATGAGCACCGAGATGAACAAGATAATTGATTTTGTGAAAGGTCAAAAATCTGATTTGCTAAACATCGCTAAATATCTCACTGCCCAGATAAGTCAGAGCGTGGCCAACCAGTTTGAAGGACTGCAGACGTATTTCACAAAAGTGGAGTCATTCAATCGGGATAAATCTATGGCAGATATTAAATATGTTAAGGGCATGTTGGACAAATTCACAAAATCCTCCAAGAAATTGCAAGGGACTGTCAATGATAACATAGACAAGGTTGTTAAGTATGCTTTGAAGGCGGCACAGGCACAGGTCGGAGAGCAGGCAGCCATGTTAGCACTAAGGGTAGCGGAGGCATGTAACCCTATGGACTGGCTTATAAATGGCGGGTCTGCCAGCGAAATTATGGAGACTGCAGCACTGTTAGCCAACAGTATTGCAGATTTGGCCGTTGTAGAAAAACTGAAGTCATCAGTATCAAGTCTGATCAAAGAAACAAAAGCCTTATCAGTTGGTTTTGCTAAAAACAACCACTTTCTGAAAATTATCCGTCAGGTTATCGATAACATAGATTCCCCCTATTCCAGTTTTGAAGCAGACAAAACATTTTTCTTAACCAAATATGCGGATTATCAGCCTGGAATTACCCGACCGCAGCTGGTAGGGGTTGAAGTATTTTGGGGTGTTGTTGTGGACGAAGCCTGCAAGGTCATCGAGAACTCAGAAGCATCAGCTTCGGCACACTTTAAGAGAGAGGTTGGGAAAAGTGGTATATGCTGGAAGACTAAAATTGAAATTGCCAAAATGATCGAGACCTTCTCCGAAATATACGACTTTCAGTTTGATTTAATAGAAGACATGGCGTCCTACATGAGAGCCCAAACTGCAGTTAACGCTGCCCAATCTATGAATGCCAACTTCGAAGCGATCACCGCCAAGGCAGGAACTGCTGAAGACAGGCTGATGGTGATGGAGCAAATGTCCGCCATCTTGGTCGTCACCCACAAGGTTCAGACGTGGGTCATCGTTGACCAGTATTGCAATATCCTAGAGTACAAAAATGGTGGACAGAGGCCAACTGTATGTAAGGGTGTGAAATCGGAAATCCCTGCTCTTCTTGCCCAACCGGAAGTGGCCTGTGACAATGAAGTCCGCTTGTATGTCAATATCCCAACCGTACCTGCAAAAAGTTCTGACAAATCCTACGTTAACATTTCAGACTTATATGCTGGTAATGAAATCACGTTTAAGATTGAGAATCAACAATGGCTGAGAGACAATGGTTGGATTGGGGTGAATGATAACATTATTGCATCATATGTCAAAGATTTTGAAGTATATGCACCAACAAAAACGACGAGTTACAGGCGTGTTAAATCAACTGTTATTGGCTTATTGAATAATGAGTTAATTCCAGGGCAAACAGAATACGTCATAGTCCCACAACACCCGATGGTCTTTGAGTACCAAGAAGGGCTATTGCTGCATAACTGTCGTAAAGGGAAACTTCAGAACCCGTACACCACCTGCACGAATGACAAAATCTCGTACATCTGCCCCCTCAGCAACGACCTGACAACCTGCGAAGAACTCAAAACCAAAACGTTGTTGTTTCCTTCGGTGTTCTCCACCTGGAAGATTCAGCTCCAAGGGTTCAAGTTCTCGCCCGTTCCTGATCCAGCAACCGAGCTCCCCATCAAAGTTGGAATACTCATGTGTACCATGTACAATAAGAAGACCGAAGAGCAGACAACTCGACGGAACATCCGAGATACGTCGTCCCAACATTCTGTATCTGAACGCAGTGGCAGCAGCTTGGGTTGTGACAAATCCTGCTGCCCAGAAGGCCAGTACCTGTCTCAGAAGACCTTCACGTGCAAGCCCTGTCCTGCTGGGTCCGTATCTGCGTTAGGCGGGTATTACTGCCAGAAGGCTCCCGCCGAGTGAGTAAGGTCTATGACAGTAAGGTGTGTGGCACTGATGGCCCGTGGACTTTTTTTTGTTTATGCTCTTTGATCTTTCTGATTTCACACCAACACGACAATTGATAGCGTGACACTATTGATGTCCTGAAAAGTGTGCTTAATCTGATCTGCTTCTGTTTATCATTATGTAATGAAACAATGTACACAGCCATTTGCTTTACTATATTGGTGTTTACGGATTTGTGCTATTATGACCTGCCGGGTGAAACGTGTAACATTTTATATCTATCTTTTATCAAGTTTCTAGGTAAAGGTTCCTGCCTATGTATCATCAAGACAATATGTGAAAGCCATGTTTAGTTATTCAAAATTAACATACGTTATACGTTACGTCATCACTGTATTGTCTGGTCCAGACTGCCGCCATATAGCTGTAAACGTTACGTTACTATATAATCAAGGATATGAATACACATTCATCTAATATAACCATGAATATGTACACAGACGTATGTTACTACACAGTAAAGAGGAGCAGAAAGGCCTATGCTATTACATCATCAAGAAGATATATACATGTTTATGCCATTGCTTATCCCATTATATAACCAAGAGATGTAAACAGGCAATATATTCAGGTGTATGGTATTATATAATCAAGAAAATGTATTCAAGGTTTATGCTATTATATAATCAACAAATGTTAACAGTCCCATACCTGTGTATACTCTTAAAGGAAAGTAGGGGATCATGCAATCTGTTACGTTATTGTCAAGTAACAGAATAGACATACCTGAAAGGACTGTACGTCTGTAAATCCTGAAACTCAAATTGTGTTGAGCGTGATTCCTGATTTTGACACTTTCGACGGTCGATTAATGTCTATGGGCCATTATATCTGTCAATATGTCTGCTTCTGCGTATCAACTTGAATTCATTTCCTGTTCGTGTCAGCACCGCGTTGAGCGTCAGCATCTACGGGCTATTGGTGCGAGGAAAACTGGCAGAATGTTAATGTTTCATTTTCTGTGATTGGCAGACGTTAGACGTTAACGACAGGAAAACAGGTTCTGTGATTCGAAACAAGGCTCGACCTGTGAAGATCCGGGTTAAAATCGACACCCCATGTTTATCGTCAGAGATTATCGTGTGGGATGGTATCACTGTGACAGGTCCAACCCAATCCATATTGTGCAAGGAAGGGGCATTGGATTGTACAATCGGGAATAAAAAAATGACACCCTTTGCTGCGCCGGTTGCAAAGTGAGCTTGGACGTTTTGTCGTCCAAGCTCACCTTGCACAAATCGTCATCATCCATAGAATGCTCCAGCCAGCACTGAGCACAGGCCTTTTACCTACTCTCATACTTCACTACCGTTTGTAATGTATTCCCAAGTTCGTTTATTATTATCATAAGATTATTGCTAGAAACTGATATATTTGACAGCTTGGAAATTGTAAGCTATTTCCGCCTATCCCCTATTTTTTCAAGAGTATATTATGATAATGTTGTGTGGAGGGTTGTACTTACTTTTATGTATTCAGAATTGTTTACTCTTGCTTATGCTTCAATGTAATAAAGAGGATTTGTGATGGCTTATGCATTTATTGAATCAAGATAATGTGTAAAGGCTCATTGTTTCATATAATAAAGAGAAAGTGAGAAGGCTTGTATTGATAATTGATCAAGATGATGTATGGCCGCTTAAGCTATTATATAAAACAAAATTGTGTTAAGGAACATGCAAATATAACCGAGATGATGTGTTAAGGACTTATGTGATGGCTTATGTTTATGAGGCTATGAGGCATTGATTAAGTGAGTCCTAGATAATGTACATGAAACATGGCAGAGAAGACCAAGGATGCAGCCAGTTCGATTATAGACTTTGTATTATTGTTTTGTTCACAAACAGTCGTATTTTCTCCTTTGAACTGCGGAATAAAAGCTATTCTTTGCACAATTTTTCTTCATGTTATCTTTATCAAACCTCGTAGTTAGTTCTGAAGGTGAATTGATCTTGAGAGCAGCATCATGAACTGTGCGACTAACAATACCGACTTAACAAGCATGTAATTCTTCCTCTGCTCGTCAGTCGCTTGGGTGCAATGTTTAACGGCACATCGCCTTTGTAAGTGAGCAAAGGTGCATGACTTTAATATGTTCACCTGCAGACAAATTTGACTCGTGGATGTCGTGAGATAGGTTTTTTTGTAATCACTGAGACATTTCTGTCTAGTTTCGGGTCAGAACAGGCTCATTCTCATCTGTTCTCACAAACAGCTAACTAAGATCTGGATTGTATGGATAAAATAACTTCTGAGCGCTGATATCAACATGATCACCATGGATACATACGGCAATGCTGTGCAATAATCATGATCTGTTCTGGGGTAAGTGAGTGAGTGAGTATGGTTTTACGCCGCTTTTAGCAATATTCCAGCAATATCAAGGCGGGCTTCACACATTTTTCCCATGTGGGGAATCGAACCCGGGTCTTCGGCGTGTCCAGGTCAAGTAAAGGAATGAAACTGTACATAACTCATATATGTTTTTTGGTTTATTTGTTTGCGAGCTGTTTAACGCCGCCACCCGATCCGATCTAACGACAAACATGGGTTCCTGAAGACAAAGTCTAACCGATCTTCACGGGTCGGTCTGATACAAGGCTTGAACGTACCTGAATATACACCAGCTGTCTCTCTTACAGGCCCTGGACCTTATTCTCTTCTATTCGTCACAACCCTGACTGTAATGTAGTATCCATAAATGAGGTTTCAGAGACTGAGCTTTACTCAGTGTCACGAGGTGTTGTTCAGGTTAAAGTGAAGGGGTGCTTACTAGAGATTACAACAAAAATATTATTTGATTTTCCCCCTCACCAGCTATTCAATTTTACTTCTTGGCATTGTCCAACAAATACATTTATTCATCCTGTTTCTTGAAATCGACAACATACGCTGTCCTTAGATTCAGTTGAATCACATCTTTTGATGTAGGTGTTTATGTTCTTTGTTTAAAACATGTTTTTTCAGATCAGGATTAAAATCTGATAAATAATGTATTGTTGCCATATGTTTTCATATTGTTAAGTCCATACATGGTTGTCTGTTAGTGAGTGAGTTGTGTTTTACGCCGCTTTTAGCACTATTCCAGCAATATCACGGCGGGGGACACCAGGAATGGGCTTCACACATTGTACCCATGTGAGGAATTGAACCCGATCCATCGGCGCGACGAACCGGCGACGGCTACCCACCGATGTCTCCTTGAAGAGACAAAAGCTTACCATGTAAGCTCTCAGTGTGCTGGATAGACTACAGAGAAGGTTATGGTTCTGTACCTCACGAATGACCTTTGAGGTCACTGGAATGTGATGACCTCCCTGAGAGATTTATTGTTTTACTCAAGTCTTTATTGAATTGCTGGTCAACTCAACTTTAGAAGGTTTCACGATGGGAGGTGCTGATCACAAAGCCCATTTCCATTAGAAGAGGAATATTTCATGGTGATTCTTTTCGTAGTCTATATTTCTATCTGTTACTGAATCCACTCAGCTTTATGCTTAACTTCGAGGAGGGTTATCATCCTGGGCCTCGTCAGTACAGATCCCCATAACCTCTTATTCAGCTGCATTACATGGATGACCTTGAACGTCTTGCCAATGGAGAATCAATATATTTTCAAAAGACATCGGCATGTTCTGGCTCAACAAGTGTAGCATTCTGTATCTGAAACATGGTCCAGTCAAAAGCGGAGTTTTGTTTTTTAATAGTGGGCTATTTTTTCTTCTTCTTCTTGTTTTCTTTCTATGTTTTGTTTCTTTATTTATTTTATTATTATTTTTTGGGGAGGCATGGGTGGGGCGGGGAGTTCTGGTTTTATGCCTGACAATTCGGGTGAACTTGGTTTAATTAATATGGAGGCTCTTCATGATAGAATCTTAGTGTGTCATTTAGCACATATTTTATTTTTCTGATGATCCTCTAATGATACGTTCCAAGACTCAATATGGAAGCAAAGAATTCAACGGCTGTTTTAAGCGTGCAAAGGTTGTTGGGCAGGATTGAGTTCGTGGATGGTGATCTACTGCTAGACGGTACAGCCATGGAAGTCATTCACCAAGTCTGCCCAAGAGTCGGTCATTAGAGGAGGTGTTTTCTGGGAAACCACTGCAACGTGTATATATGCAGTGTGTAGTACAGAATAGCAATCCAACCAAATGATTTGCTTGGATGAAGTCGGCTGATCCTAAAAGTGAAACAGGTGGCTTTCTTTTTGCTGCCCAGGACCAGCCACCTCCCACTAGCAATCTCCAAGATGTGGTTCTTGGAGAGAATGTTCATTCGAAATGTCAGTTATGTTATAAATTTGCTGAGACTGTTCAACACTCAGACTGTCAGTGACTGTGCGTCCTTGGCACAAACAACATACCTGATACGACACGATGTCATGGCTCCTTGTTTCTTTGCCATGCCTGTGGATCCTGAGGTCCAAACATGATACGACCCGGAGCATGTTAAGGTCGTCAAGGAAGATAATACTTTTTAACTTCTTTGTGATATGCACATATACAGCCACACACGCACGCACGCAACAGGGCAATCACAAGGTAACCGTTGTACAGTTGATAGTGGCGGTACACTTGCAGGGCAGTGCAACTTTTCATAAAGCTCTCGCAAGCCTGATATCCCACTTTTCTCGTAGCATTCGTACCTCCTATGTTACAGTATAGGAACTTAATGCACCTGTCGCCCCGTGAAGGTCCGGGTTAGAATATTGATCTTCGGTAACCCATGCTTGTCGTAAGAGGCGACTAACGGGATCGGGTGGTCAGGCTCGCTGAATTGGTTGACACATGTCATTGGTTCCCCAGATACTCATGCGTGCGTGAGTATTCCCATTCCTCCTTCCGCACGCACACACGCACACGCACACACACACACACACAAACTAACACACACACAACACAAACTCGAAATGTGCATTTAATGATAAAAGCACAAAAGTTGGTCTTCAATTTCATTTTTTGGGTCTGTGTGCGCATGTGCAGTAGACAAAAAATGCTGTACTATTTTTAATGTTTCCTCTTTCATAGTCAGCATAGCCAATCATTACCAACCAATAATATCACAATAAATGATTTACCGGTACAGGAAAAGAGAAGAAATACAGTGGAAGCCGCCTAAGTAAGGACCTCCTAACTGAACAGACCGGATAAATAAACACTATTCTTTGATCCCTGCAAATTTCTTCATTAATTAGAGTCCGGTTAACTAAACACAGATAACCACATAACTAAACGTCTTCTCACGGTCCCTGGAAGTAAGTTACTTAACAAAAGAGACCGGGTAACTAAATTAGCGATCACCACATAATCCGTCATGAAGGACACGTGTCCGTCCCCAGCTAAACAAACATCCTACGTCCTAGTGTATTATAAATGTATTACTTCACTAAATGAAATTTTATGGAATAAAACAGTAAATATTAGTTACAAATTTTGTCTGTAATTCTCCTATATACATATACATGCATATGGTTGTCATATGCAGGTTTTGATAAGTTTGGATAAGTAAAATACCTGATAAGTAAACAATTTTGGCGAGTCCCTTGAAATTTTCAGGTTTCCACTGTAATTATTTTACTCGAGCATTCCATTTTATTCCACTAAACATCACTAAACCGCAGTTTTACTGTTAAATATTTTTTAATAGCCAATTAAATTATTGAAATTCAGTGACAAATTCCATTCTACAAATGTAAGATACACAATATTTTCTATACTTTTCCTATATATACCACTTCAGCATAACTTGGATCTCCAGAAAGTTGATACGCTAGCTAAGTTTATATTCATAATTTATTTAATTAGAAATTGAAAACTCATGGGGACACAATAATCTCCTTCGCTTACAGGCCCCGTGGTAGTTATACTACGAATGAGATATTGAATTTGAACATGCTCATGGCCAGAACGAATTATATCTATGAGCATTAATCGTGCAGCAACCCACTTTTTTAGATGAGTACAAACACACATGTTGGTGCATGTGCTTGGAAAAATTGCAGGGATAAAAATGAAATTGAACCATGGTAACACATTACTGCAATCGGAGAACAATACAAAAAACGTGAACATCAACAATGCTGGAAAGCATGGTCACCATGACTACCCCACAAATCTGATTGCTGCACAGTTTTTAAACAATGTTGGTTCTGATTGTATGAACCACCACAGTATCTGATGTAGCATCCCTCGGACTTCTAACATCTGCCAGTCTCCTCCTCATACTGGCAATCAAGCATCATATCATTAGCAGGGGCGGTGGGGTAGCCCAGTGGTTCGCTCTTCACACCAAAGACCCTGGTTCAATTCCCCCATTTCTTTGTCCCCAGCCGTGATATTGCTAGAAGAGTGATAAGAGTGCAGTACTTCCTTCAAAATCGTTGACATTTGTGTTTCCAAGATACTGTCATGAGATCCAACAGGCAGCCACACGAAACGCAACCCCACGCCATCACTGATGGATTCAAGTTGCAGCTTTTGGAGTTTGCACCACACCAGACATTTCTGCCTGTTCCTATCTGTGAGGAAGGGAGGCCTGCTTGGACGACATAGTCTCAGACGTCGCAGCCTCCCTCTGATGGTAATGATGGAGAGTTTGAGAGACTCCCACTCCCCACTGCAGTTCCTCGGCAAGGTTTATCATGCTGATGTCTTGCCAGGCGAAGATGGACCGTGGTGCCTCTTAAGTGGACTGATTAACTATGTAGTTAGTGTGCAAGTTAGCACCAATGTTGCGACAGGACATCCCTGCATCATGCACCCCAATAGCTTGCCATCATGTATTTTCTGAACGCACAGGGACTTTTTACTGATGCCATCTTTGAAATCATTTCAGGAAATTGTAGCGCACATACTACAATAGTGAAATTTATACTCCACTTTGTCGGGACCAT